GAAAAACAAGCTAAAAACAAAACAAAAAGTGAAAGATTTCCCCTTTTGTATTTGAGCATGCAAGAAGGGACCAGAAAGGGAAAGAGGAAAGACAAAGAAGGGAAAATGGGAAAAGAGCAAGGAAGGAAAAATAAGGAAAGAGGGGAAGGAAGAAAAAAGAAGGAAGAAGGAAGGAAAAAAAGAAAAATAAGGAAGGAAGATTATAATGAGAGTGAGGGAGGGTCTGAGGGAAGTCCTGCCTTAGTATTTGGTCACCACAGGTGCCCCCAACATGAGTGATGTCAAGCTGGCTATGCCCACCATGGCCACACCCACCCCAGTCCTCTGAGTTAAAACAGAACCCTGATGTGACCCTCAATAAAATCCAGTTTGATACCCCTGGTCTAGAGGGTTTCCTAAAGACTGCTCCCCAAAACGGCAAAATAGCACTTAGATAATAACAAAGGAGTGTGGTAGCTATGGTGCCCAACAAATTAAATGTTGTTTGTAATTTCAGTAAGATGGCCTCAATCTTGCAGAAAGAATGGCAAGATTTTTTTTAATCTCTTACTTTTTTTTTTACTGTGTGTGTAATGTAGGTAAGATTGTCAACACTACATATCAGGATAAGCCAAATAAAAACCAGTCATTCATTCCTCTCACATACTGAACATTAGACATGATTTGGAATATGCAAGGAATTATAAAAGCAAACATTTCCTACCAAGCAACCGTGTTGTCAGAAACCTAGAGATAGATGACTCTGAAAACCTAAGCTAACCAGCTGAATGTGAAATGGGCTAAGCAAGCAGAACATCCAAAATTCCCCAAACATTACTGATACTAATGCAAATTCTAATGGAATTGGCATTAAGGCTCTGATTTCCACACTTTTACGCTGGGCCATAGAAATGCTTTGAGTAAACTTTATAAGATCAGATTGAAATAAAACATGGCTTTCAAAAACATACTGTAAATATAGCTTGAACAAACTATGCATGAACAAAATCTAGGATCCTCTGGAAATTTATCAAGGGCTTCTCATTTAGAATAATGATAAGACAAGCCTAAGAAACTATTGCTATTAATATTTGTTCATACTACAGAAAACACTACACTCTGCTTTCAGAAAAGGTCAGGTCAGAATATATGTTAACATCTGATTTATACAGGTGAAACTCGAAAAATTAGAATATCGTGCAAAAGTTCATTTATTTCAGTAATGCAACTTAAAAGGTGAAACTAATATATGAGATAGACTCATTATATGCAAAGCAAGATAATTCAAGCTGTGATTTGTCATAATTGTGATGATTATGGCTTTCAGTTAAATATCGGACCTCTGAAAAGTATAAGAACAATATTGGACCTCTGAAAAGTATAATCATGCATATGTACTCAGTACTTGGTTTGGGCCCCTTTTGTAGCAATTACTGCCTCAATGCAGTGTGGCATGGAAGCTATCAGCCTGTGGCACTGCTGAGGTGTTATGGAAGACCAGGATGCTTCAATAGCAGCCTTCAGCTCTTCTGCATTGTTTGGTCTCATGTCTCTCATCTTTCTCTTGGCAATGCCCCTAGATTCTCTTTGGGGTTCAGGTCAGGTGAGTTTGCTGGCCAATCAAGCACAGTAATCCCACGGTCATTGAATCAGGTTTTGGTGCTTTGGGCAGTGTGGGCAGGTGCCAAGTCCTCCTGGAAAATGAAGTCAGCATCCCCATAAAGCTCGTCTGCGGAAGGAAGCATGAAGTGCTCCAAAATCTCCTGGTAGACAGCTGCGTTGACCCTGGACTTAATGAAGCACAGTGGACCAACACCAGCAGATGACATGGTTGCCCAAATCAACACAGACTGTGGAAACTTCACACTGGACTTCAAGCATCTTGCAGTGTGTGCCTCTCCATTCTTCCTCCAGACTCTGGGTCCTTGGTTTCCAAATGAAATGCAAAAGTTGCTCTCATCAGAAAAGAGGACTTTGGACCACTGAGCAACAGACCAGTTCTGTTTTTCTTTAACCCAGGTAAGATGCTTCTGATGTTGTTTGTTGTTCAGGAGCGGCTTGACAAGAGGAATACGACATTTGAAGCCCATGTCCAGGATCCATCTGTGTGTGATGGCTCTTGATGCACTGACTCCAGCCTCAGTCCACTCCTAGTGAAAGTCCCCAACACTTTTGAATGGCCTTTTCTTGACAATCCTCTCCAGGCTGCGGTCATCCCTGCTGCTTGTGCACCTTTTTCTTCCATATTTTTCCCTTCCACATAACTTTCTATTAATGTGCTTTGATACAGCACTTTGGGAACATCCAACTTCTTTTGCAATTACCTTTTGAGGCTTTCCCTCCTTATGGAGGGTGTCAAGGATGGCTTTCTGAACAACTGTCAGGTAGCAGTCTTTCCCATGATTGTGATTCCTACTGAACCAGACTGAGAGACCATTTAAAGGCTCAGGAACCCTTTGCAGGTGTTATGGTTTAATTAGCTGATTAGGGTGGGACACTTTGAGCCTAGAATGTTGAACCTTTTCACAATATTCTAATTTTCTGAGATTGTGGATTTGGGGTTTTCATGAGCTGTAAGCCATTATCATCTCAATTATGACACATCACGGCTTGAACTATCTTGCTTTGCTTTGCAGTCTATCTCATATATTAGCTTCACCTTTTAAGTTGCATTACTGAAATAAATGAACTTTTGCACGATATTCTAATTTTTCGAGTTTCACCTGTATAAGGTGACTCTAACTTAAACTATGCCACTTGTTGTTCATTTAATATATTTATAACTCCACCTTTTAAAAAAATCTCAAGCTAGTATATAATAAAATTCAAATGATTAAATGATTCAAATGAATGTGTATGTATGTATGTATATATGTTTATGTATGTATTTGTGTGCATATAAACCATGTTTCCCTGAAAATAAGATTGGGTCTTATTTTTGCTCCCCCCCCCCCGAAATCAGCACTTGGGCTTATTTTGGGGGAGGTTTTATTTTTTGGACATGCAGCTACTGCTAGCCCCGCCCTTTCCATCCTATCTGCTTGCCAGCGGGCGCAAAAGGCCAAATTCTCACATGCCTTGGCCTTTACCTTCCCTGCCTGCTACTGGGACACTTCTTGGCCATGTGCTGCTAGCCATTTAGCAGCTGCCTATGCTGCTGGTGGCCTAGTGGGGGCTCTTTGCCCTCCTGGTGGGTGGAGGCCGGGGTATGCCGAGAGCTTGGGCCCGTTTGAAGCTCCCTGGGGTGGAGCCCACAGCCCAGCGCTTGAAAGGGTCTTGGGGGGAAAGCCCCTTGACGCAACAAAGCCTCTCTTTCAGTTGGGCAGGAAGCTCCCTCCCATCATGCAGCTGGATGGTTGAGAATCGGGCAGTCCTGGGAACTGCTCTCCAGTTAGATACAGAACTCCAGCTGGAAGGCATCTCCTTTGGGCTACTGAGCATCAGCCTGCATGCCTACTCGGTGCTGCAAGCACCAGGCTACACCCCTGGTTCTGGTGGGTGCTGCATCTCTCATGTCAGCTGTGCATGGGGTAGCTCCAAGTGAGAGGTAGTGGAGGATACTGGGTAGCAATTGGGGCTTGGTGGTGGATTGCGCTGGGCAGAAGACGAGGTAGCTGCAAAGCCACCACAGGCAACTGGGGCATCCCCGTGTTTGCTTGCCTCACAGAGCTGGTATGAGAGCTGCAGCGGCCACAGGCCTGGCTCGGCGTAGCTGCAGCCGGGCACCTGCAGCTCCAAATAGGCATACAGGGTGGGGCTCAGCAGCCCAAACACTTGACAATGCAGGCTGGTGCCTATTGGGCATCCAAACACTTTTCATCCGCTTCGTCTCCCTCTGGGAGAAAAGTGCACAGTAAGTAGTTCAAGTGATCAAATATATATCTCTCTCTCTATGTGAAAGAGAAAGAGAAACAGTGGAGGGGAACTGGGTAAGGGGACTGATCCTCTCCCGCCCAGAAGCAATGTGCAGCCTCTCACAGTAAGCAGAAATGCGTACAATTCTGATTATTGTGAAAGACTGCACATTACGAAGAAGAACGAAGCAAGGTTGTGGTGGAGGGTGGACAACGAAGCAAGGCAGAGGGTGCAGAGCTGCCCCAAGCACCCTGCAACGGCTTACCTAAATGCCCTTAACCCATGCTAAACCCTCCCCCCCTTCCCAGGACAGCCACATCTCTTCACTAACCTGCTTTCCAGTTCCGTTCCCTGCTGCACGTTTAGGACTAGAAAAGTAGTCTGCTGGACTACTGCTAAAAAAAATACAGGTAGTTCAGATCTTCTAACTTCTCATAGAAAAAAAAAATCTTGCGAAGTTGGAAGGGTTTTTTTTTATCATAGTGCCACAATCTATTTTTCTTGCCCTGCACGTGGTGATGGAGAACAGATATCATATATATATTACTGCATATATTTTAAAACTTAAAAAAAATGTAAACTGCATATGATTCAAATTTTTCTGCAATATGTGGCTCAATAGATAATACGTAAAATATTTCCTGAAGATTTTTAAAAAATGGAGAAGAGGAAAATAACTAACTTAGAATAAAGATAAGTAATGACTACTACTTGAATCTTCCTTGAGTGATTTAGCTATTCTACTGACTTTGATGGAATTGTTTCACAATGGGAAAGTATTAAACTCAGAAGTCCAGTTTTAAAAATAGTCTGCTTATAAGGGAGCAATTACTATTCTAATCATTTTATTGTAAAATTGACCGTATGAAGTCATGATACTAAAATAGGTTCATTTATCATATTTTAAGAGAACTTAATATATATTTTAATAATATATCTCTTCATATATATATATATACTCAACAGCATATATAAACGTATTTATATTTTTATCCAGCTCAAAAAATCCCACATAACTCTATATTAGTTATGTGCTGTCTAATTAACATCAACTCATAGAACCACATACCTCTTTTATTTCTGACCAATTAACTTAACCATAAAAACATAAAAAGACACATATAAAACAAATTCTTAAAGCATATATAGATATATTTGGAACCTACCGCTGCAGTTCTGTCCACTTCGCAACGGCTGCTTAAAATAAAACAGGCTTCTGCATTATCCATTCTAAAAATCAGAAAGTTTAGGAAAAAATTTAGGAAACTGTTTTTAACATACCCAGGAAACTTCTAAAGATAAGTACTTGCTTTAAATGTAAACTTTAAACCAAATTAAAATCTTTTTTTCACTTTTTAAAGAGAAAATAAAACATATTATATAAAATATATACCTGTTAAAAATATATCCCATAAACATAATGTAAAAATAAGGCATCAAATATTAATATTATGTATTTTTCTCAGTCTTATCAGGGTAAAATTCCTATATTAGACCATGTGATGTGTTGTGCATCAGCCCCCCCCCCCCAAAAAAAAAAAAAAAAAAAAGGAAGCAAAATTATATCCATTTTCTGTAATGGTATTTTTGTCAACCAGAAAAAAGTATATCAGTTTTAAACTCACTTATTCTGCATGTCACAATGTGGATTTCATCAACTAAGGTTGATGTAAGAGCATTCCAGATTTTGACAGATGAAAGCAAGATTTGTGTACATATGCAGTGGCACATAAAAAATATATGTAAAATCATTTTTAAAAAAAGTTATAGTATACAATGCTTGTTCCATTGAACAGAAATGATTTGTTAATATTGTTGATTTGGGACAAATCTATAACCCTTCCTTCCTTCCTTCCCTCCCTCCCTCCCTCCCTCCAGGCAACTTACTGTATATATCGCAGCTTAACAACACAGGCATGAACCAGATTTAAACTGATTTACAAATGCTTAATTCTACACTACAAAAACACTTTAAAATTATATATCATCACTTGAACTTGGTACAGAAATTGTATCGAAACCACTCTGGTTGTTTCAATGAATTATAGAAAGCACATTTACCAGCCTTCTCGCTGTGTTCTGTATCAGCTATAGTTCTTAGACCTATATTTAGATCCATTACAGAAATCCTAATGCTTTTCGTTTATTTAAACTACAATATAAGGGGGTAGGAGTTGCAGGACAATTGACAAGTGGTGAATTGGCAAGTAATGGACTGAATAATGGAGCAAGGCAAAGGGTTCTGGAAATTACTAGTTTAACCAAGAAATAAAGGAAATAAAGGCATTAATGAAAAGGGGGACTGAACACAGGAAGTTCATTATCTTAAAAGTTGTTGTATACTGCACACAAAATGGGTAACAGGCAAAATCAGATGGCTCTTGGCATTAAGGCAAGTATAACATAACAAGGATTATAGAAACACAGTAAGGATGAGTTCCAGCAGTGGAATAAGTTCTTAATCGGTACAGCTAGCTTCAAAGTAAAGGCAACACAAGAAAAGCTGTCATAGATTTACATATTAACATCCATGAACAGAAGTCAACTGATTTGATGTGGAAACCAATCAAGTTAAAATAAAAGGGTGATGTAACAGAAGAACTCACTTGTTAAAAATTTTACTACAGACCACCAAATAAATCAGAAGACATAGAAAATTTATTAAAACAGTTAACTGAATGTTCAAAAACCCCCAAAACAGCTGTGATAGGGATACTTCAACTATCCAAGCATTTACTGAAAGATTAATTTTGAAACAAGTCAGAATATTTGATTGTATTGATAATAATTTTCTGCTTCAAAAGATTTAAGTAAACAGAGTATCTGCTACCTTGGCTTTGGTCCTCACTAATAAGAGGAGCTGACTGAAGATATTAAATCTGAAAGAACTTTGGGTACAGGAACAGAAAGAACAATCTGAATAAACTAAAATAAATAGTAAAGAAAATGTCACAGGGAGAAACCTTTAAAGCCAAAGCTGCTGCTGCAACCAATGGGATTTCTTAAGCAAAATGAAGTTAAGAATAAAGCAATTTCAAACAATATCAATGAGGAAGAAAATTTAGGAGCTGTTGCCAACCTTCAAGGTAGGCCATGTGAATATAATTTGTTGATATTGATCAATTTGAACAGAATATTGAAAATCTGAGTTTTTCCCTCCCACCATCTTATACCCTAATGCAGGGGTCCCCAACCACCAGGCCGCGGACCGATACCGGTCCATGAAACATTTCCTACCGGGCCGCCGGTTTTCTGGGAGCCATCTTGTTTGACGAGAAAGTGCTTCCAGGTGAGCTTTTCCGGTTGGAAAGCGGCGTCTGGGTCCTGAAGGAACCCTCACGCCTTAGTTTCATTGAGGGGGGGGGGCTTCGAACAAAACTAAGGTGCGAGGATTCTTTCAGCACCCAAGGCAAGGCAAGCCGAGCGACCGTCCTGAAGCCGTCCCGAAGCGAAGCCCATCGACAAAGGTACAAAGGAGGAGTTGAAGGTGGTGGGCAGAAGTGGGGGACGGCTGGCTGGCTGGTCGCTCAGCTTGCTTTGCCTTGTCATGCGTGCTGATGCCGGTACCGGGCCGTGGATCATTTTGTGATGCCGGTACTGGGCCGTGGCACAAAAAAGGTTGGGGGCCACTGCCCTAAGGAATTAGGGACAAGTCAATATTAGCTTCTTTCTCACCGCCTGGTCTTAAGGTATGTTTTCACAATAATCATCTCTACCTCATTTCTTTAATATTCTAGGGAATTTTTCAGAAGGACCAAGGGATTTAAAGACATTTAAATTAGCTAAAAGATTCCTTATAGCCTTGCTAAATTGTACCTTCCTTTATATATTTAATCCCAGTGTATGCTGCTCAAGATTTTATATCCTTTGAATGTAAAAACAGAAGCAAAGTAGAAGTTGTGGTTATCTATTTTCTTATGATCATCTGTTAAAATTTGTTCATTTGGATTAAGAAGTGATTCAACCTAGCTAAAGACCTCTTTCAATAATTTCTGAATAGCTGTGGAAAACTGAAGAAATACAAGGGGTCATATTTTTTGAAGTGTAAAGAGAAACAATCCCAGGAATTATAAACTGAGCCTCACTATCAATACCTGGAAAGATATTAGAGCAGGTAATAAAGCAGGAAGTTTATAACCATCTTGAAGACAATGTTGTAACTGCTGAAAGTCAGCATGCCTTCATTCAAAATATATAGCATGAGACAGACCTTATTTCTTTCCTTGACAAAATAATCTTTAGTGGATAAAAAATGCTGCAAATGTAAAAAAAAGAGTATACAAACCCAGATGCTGAGGAATAAAAAAGCTCAGTTTTATTTTTTAGTTAATATAGCCAAAACATACTAAACACTTCATTTACTAGAAGGGTTATTAGGGAATGTGATTATGAGATGCTCATTATAAAAAGAGAGAAGTTCACTGCTGCTTAGCAACTACTATTCCAACATTTATGCTGTGTTTCTTAAAAATGGCCTATTAAACAGCATCCCATAGTGTTTAAAAATGATAAAAGTACATTCAACTACATAATTTGTAAGGAGAAATATACATTTTAATGGTTGCTTTCCTTTGAATTTACTACAGGCTAAATAATACTGCAGGTATTATGTTTTATGTTTTATAAAGCTGTCGCTTTATAAAAATTCACATTTACCACCTAACTAAGAGAAAAATCAAATTTTTTAGCAAAATAAGAGTATCTATCCATGAATGTTTATTAGTGATTGAAAATAAATTATTAATTAGCCTAATTTACATTTAAAATTGGATTTTTTTTTAAAAAAATAATTATTTATTCATTAAATGGCATATTATACTTGCAACCACAATTCAGCCCAAAATTTCCATTGCTAAGCAAGGCAGTTACGTGTGTTTTTCTCCATTTTATGATCTTTTTTGGGTCATAGTTGTTAAGTGAATTACTGAAGTTGTTAAGTAAATCATGTGTTTGTAAATGAATCTGGCTTTCGCCATTGACTTTGCTCGTTGGAAGTTGGCTGGGAAGATCACAAATGGTGATCACATGATCCCAGAACAGCGCAATTGTCAAAAATACATGCCAATTGCCATGCACCCAAATTTTGATCATGTGACCATGGGGATGTTGCAGTAGTTGTAAGTTTGAAAACCGGTAGTAATTTTTCAGTGTCATACATTCAAATGGTCACTAAGTGAATGGTTGCAAATTCAGGACTACCTATATTATTTCCTTTGAAAATTTGTATTCCTGTATTATTTTCTATACCATTTTTAAAAAAACAATCAAGAGTAATTGGTTTCATAAATAAATAAATATTCATTCTTAATAGGAAAACAAACATATTTTTATAAGAATTATGCAAAATGATTATGTATTACTCCCATATACTCAAGCAGCTGCAATCCCATAATTATATATCTAGAGTAAGTTCCACTGATGATTACTTCAGAGTAAAATATAGAAGATTGCACAACAGGGAATTTTGTAACTCCTAAACTTGGAAATCCTGGATGTCATAAGAATTAAGTTTTACAAATTATAAAATAGTACTTAACATGGTAAAAATAAAAGTTATTGCAATGCTGGTTTTGATTTCAAATGGGTTCCTACCTTCATTATTCAATGATTTATCTTTAAAATCATTAATAAAGATGAAAGCAGTGGCCAGACTATTATTAAAATCAAATAGCATAATTAAAGCTAAAAATGACTGAAGATTAAAAGGAAAGGAAATTATGGAAATGCTTAACCCATCTGCATCTAAAAGTATTTCACATAGTCTCAGTTTTAAGAATTCTTTAAAATCAAAGTATAACTCCATGGTTAATAGAGATGAGTGTGAAAAAGAGCCAATTTGATCTAGTGGTTAAGATACCAGGTTAAAAAGCAGGAGACTGTGAGTTCTAGCTCTCTTTTAAGCATGAAAGATGGCTGGGTGGTTTTGGGCCAGTCATGTTCTCTCTCAGCATAAACCACCTCACAGGGCTGCTGCTGTGGAGAAAAATATATGAGATGTGTGGCACACAATCAGCGGGCCTGGGCAACCCAGAGCGGGATGGAGCTCATTAAATGGCTTCTGTGATCTGCTGTTGTCGGGGCAGGGGGTGGGAGTTGAGGAATGATTTTGTTTTTGTTTTATTGCACTACATTAATTTCTGTTAGTTTTTATTGTTTTAAATGTGATTTTATATTCTTTAAGCCAGTGGCCCCCAACCTTCTTTGTACCACGGACTGGTACAAAATGTACA